CACCTGAGAGCAATACATAAGATCTGCAATTTATTCATTCACTGCAATTGCACATGTAGATGTGCCCACTGAGTAGGGGAACACTGAGAGTTAGCCAATACAGAACTACTGAGAACAGCAGGAAAGGAAGTTTTAAACCCTGCCTCTCTCTGGGGCTTACACACTTTGTCCAATCCTGCAGGAAGGTATTTAACGTCCTCTCAGGATTGGCTACCTTCAATCTTCTCCTGAAAATACAGAGAAGGGGTCGTTCTTTCATTTTAAACCATGACAGCCACAGTTTGGTGGTGAGGTTGTAAGGTATACAGCAGTTTAAAGGTTAAGTGTTTGCCTAGGATGTAGGAGGTCCTGTTTTAATTCGTGCCTCTGCCTGATGGAATTCAAGCACACACATACCACCTAAAGAGTGATGGTGATATATGTAGGCTTGAATTCCACTAATTACTAAACTATAGACTAGTGGTCCAGTTGAAATTCACAGTTCACTGGGCCAGAAGACAAAGCGTGAATATTATTCTACGGTCTAGTGATTATAGCAGTAACTTTAAGGAATGAGACCTGAGTTCCTGTTTCAGAATTATTTTCTATTTTATCCAATACCTTTTTCATATAGGATACTTAAAAAGGTCTTGGCCAAAAACCCAGAAACCACGGTGAAGGCTCTAGCACTATTATATAGTGATCCTCAAATTCTGAGGTTTTGCTCTCTCTTTCCAGGACAATACTGGACTGCTTAGGCATAGGGTTAGACACAAAATTGACCTCAAATTACTGTTCTAAAGACTGAGACACTTTGGGCATGTACAGAAGCAGAATCTTAGCATAGCTTCAGGTAGAAATTGAGGCATCTGTGGAAGCATCAACACTTCCACGATTAGGCAGTACCTGAACAGGGGTGTTTCAGATTGTGATTCTGGACTTCCTCCTAAGGTCCACATCTGGCATCAAAAGGGGCTTTGTTTTTTTTAGGGGGGTTTTATATGAGGCCTTGTGACTCAAAGGGGAGACCTCTGAGTGTCTCCTACTGCAATGTGTCTTGTGCTTGCATGGAGTTGATTCTGTAGATGTTATAGAGCTCTTTTGGTTCCAGTGTCTATGCAGAGAATAGTGGCTAAGAATGACAAGAACCTTGGCCCCCACCAATGTAGCACAGTTTGGAGTAATATTCTCTAATTCCTCCTGG